GTCCAAAAACCTCAAAGCAGTCTTCCTGAAAATTGACTTCCACAAAGCCTATGACACGTTTAGCTGGACCTTCCTTCAGGAAGTGTTGCTTAGGAAAGGGTTCGACGATCGCTGGGTCGCCCAGGTTATGCAGATGGTTACCTTTGGGCACACCGCGGTTAACATTAACGGAGAGATCGGTCCCTATTTCCCCACCCTATGTGGGGTTAGACAGGGTGACCCCTTCTCTCCATTTCTGTTCAACATGGTGGTTGATGCCTTGGTGACTATCCTTGATAAGGCGAATACCGCAGGCCACATCCACGGCATAGTCCCGCACCTAACGGAGCGAGGTGGTGTTTCCCTCCTCCAATATGCCGACGACACCATTATCATGGTGGAAGGCTCGACGGCTGATATCACGAACATGTGGGGTTAGACAGGGTGACCCCTTCTCTCCATTTCTGTTCAACATGGTGGTTGATGCCTTGGTGACTATCCTTGATAAGGCGAATACCGCAGGCCACATCCACGGCATAGTCCCGCACCTAACGGAGCGAGGTGGTGTTTCCCTCCTCCAATATGCCGACGACACCATTATCATGGTGGAAGGCTCGACGGCTGATATCACGAACATGAAATTTCTATTGCTATGCTTCCAGCAGTTGTCAAGTCTCAAAATAAACTTCGATAAGAGTGAGGTGATGGTATTAGGCTACTCTCCCTCTAAGAGCCAAAGTATAGCTAACCGACTCAACCGTCGGCTTGGTTCTTTCCCCACCACCTACCTGGGGATCCCCATTAGCGACTCTCGGCTTTCCGTAGTGGACCTACGGCCCTCGGTGCTCAAGCTTCAGCACCGTATCGAGCCTTGGCAGGGGAGAAGGCTGTCTAAGGCGGCTCGGACGATCCTCATCAACTCGGCCAGTGATGGAGATAAACAGAAATACCATACGGTTCGTTGGACCGACATCTGCAAACCTAGGGACCAAGGCGGCCTCGGCATCATGTCCTCCAAATGCATGAACCTGGCCCTCCTGACGAGGTGGCTTTGGCGCATTGCGAATGGCGAGGGAGGTCTGTGGCTGCAAATCATCCGAAACAAATACTTACGCGGCCAACCTCTTGCCTTCTGCCTTCGAACAAGGGGCTCCCAGTTCTGGCAGTCCGTCATCCAGTTGCTCCCGGTTCTCCGCATCAGGACCTCCATCACGGTTGGCTCTGGGACAGCCACCCTGTTTTGGTTCGACCGTCGGGCTAGGGACTCCCCTTTCGCTGTGTGGTTCCCGAATCTTTTCTCCATCGCAGTGGAGCCTAGGATCTCCATTGAGACGGCCCTTACTAACTTAGGGCGTCTCACGTTCCGGCGGCCATTTGGGCCCCTGGATATCGCCGCCTGGCATGAGCTCCTAGAGGCCGTCACGCTTCACGAGCCTGATCTAACATTGACGCATGATCGCTTATCGTGGTGCCTAGAGGCCTCAAGCAAATTCTCCACGAAGTCCCTGTACCAGGCCATTGCCCCCACCCCAGGCCCGGTGGCCCTCGAGATGATCTGGGCTATCTGTGTGCCCCTCAAGATCAGGATCTTCATGTGGCAATGGATCCGCGGCTGGCTGCCCTCCGGCGTGGAGGTGTTAAAAAGGAATGGCCCGGGCGACGGGATTTGTCCCCTTTTTGGGACTGAGGAAAACTCGAATCACATTTTCTTCTCGTGCGTCTCCACCCAGTTCCTCTGGAGCTGCCTCCATGAGGTAGTCAGGGGTAGTTGGTGCAACACCAACTTCCCGGACCTCTTCACCGAGGTCCAGGCATCAACCCCGTCAGACTGCCACATTAGGTGGCTGCTCATTGGGGTCCTTGCTTGGACGCTCTGGACCGTGCATAATAAGCTTGCCATCCAGCGTGTGCCTATTCGACGTGCCACTGACGCAGTATTCAAAATGTGTGGTTATTTGCAGCTATGGCGGCCGCTTAGCCGTCACCAGGACCGGGACGCCATTAGCATCATCATTGCTGACCTTCGCGCGATGGCTCTTCACTTGGCGCCGCCGCTTCCTCCTCCTCCACCCGAGACGGATTAGCTTCATAGTTGCGGTGTCACCGCCCTTGTTTTCCCTTCTTCAGGGCTTGTTGAGCTGTGCCCTCAGCAGAACCCTCTTGTACTCTATGTTGTGCGATTGTGTGTGTGTGGACCTCTGTGGTACTTTGTGGTTGTGGTGGTTTGCTTTATTTATAAAGCGGGGCGAAAGCCTTTTTCAGTAAAACGCTCAATATCAGCAATGCCAAGGCCTCCCAACTCCTTCGGGTGGCACACGGTTTTCCAGTTAACCAGCGAGTGCCCCCAGATGCCTGCTCTTGGTCATCTTTAGCCCAAATGAATCCCCTGGTAATCTTGTTGATCTTGTTCCACGGCCATTTCAGGAAGGGAAGAGCGGTGAGGTGGAAGGTGGCAATGGCGGCGAGGACCGATTTGGCCAGAGCCAGGGCCACCCTTCCAGGCTTCTCAACGTTTTTCCCCTTCCATCCCGGAAGTCTTCCAGAGATTTTGTCAATGAGTGGCTGAAGGTCGGCCTTGCGAAGTCGACGGGAGTGAAGAGGAAGAGAGGAAACCCCAGTTAGCGTCCTACGAAAGCCGCGACCCTGGCCGGGAAGGTCGACAGGATGTCCACAAGGTCAATGTCGTTGCAGCGGATGGGGAAGACCTCAGATTTTGCCAGGTTGGTGACAAGGCCCCTAGCATCACAAAACGCCGCGAGGATGGCAGAGATCGGGCGCAATTCATCCTTGTCCGGGTTTGCAAAAATACTGGCATCTTTCGCGAAGAGGGGGATCCTGTAACACACCACGCATGCACGGATGGGCTTGAGAATGCCCCTCTGTGTGCCAACTGAAGGATCTTCTACAGCGGATCAATGGCCAGGATGCAGAGCATAGGGGAAAGCGGACCCCCCTAGTGCAAACCATGGACGTGACTGAAAGATGTGCCAGGGTTATCATTGAGCAGGAACCTGGAGAAGGAGGAGGCCAAGGATAGGCAGATCCAGTTCCGCCAACGTTGCCCGAAACCTAGACGTTGCAACACCTTAAGCAAGTATGCCCAGTTCACAGAGTCAAAGGCTTTTGAGATGTCAAGCTTGAGGAAAAGGCCCGGAATGTTTCTTCTGTGAAGATCTTTAATCAAGTTCTAAACATGCATGAAGTGGTCGAGTATACACTGTTTCTAAACAAACGCGCTTTGGCACTTGGAGACGATCGTCGGTAGGAGGGGAGCAAGCCTGTTAGCCAAGAGCTTGGAGAAGATTTTCGAGAGGCCATGGATCAGACTGATCGGACGGTAGTCCCCAACTCCGAGCGCGTCAAGCTTCTTC